CAGATTGCAATGCAATTTTAGAATGTTCAATTTATGGTTGTCCGAGAAAGTATTTTATTTATATCGGAATGCTCGAAAACCATCTTTAAAAGCCTAATTAATTCAACTAAGGCAAGTTAATTAAAACACTAAATCCTTTACGTAATCGAGGTAGTCGTGACAGTCGCGTTGAATAACTAGGCTAAGAATTTGCAAATCTAGATCATTCCTCTATAGCCGTTCTTGTGCTGAATTGGCTATTACAAATTTTTGAAGAACATTTTTTTTGTTATGCAAACGTGTTCAATGATCATTATTCAATGTGTGAAACGACTACAATTATTGTAAGTTTCCAATCCATAAACTAAAATATGTATTTTAATAACTAGATTGGTATCATTTGTTTTAAGTTTGCAATTAGTGGAAAACGCTGTAATAATCGTAATTTTTACACCAATCCGGATATACAGGGTGCGCCAACAAAAATGAGACAGAGCTGTTTTCTCAGTACATACACGTATGCAAAAATGTTTGGACATGTTACTTTGTAGTAAATACTGACTGTCAATGCTTTGCTTCCTTGGGTCTGAAAAGGATGAAACACTCAAACGGCGGGATCGAGTGGTAGATCAGATTAAAGGTTTTCTCGAGGACTTTTTGGCGCTATAAAATTTGTTAGTTTTAAGCAACCGATCATGAGTACATCGATTTTCTTATGAGCACCCAAAATACGTAAAGCAGAAGGGGGGCACATTCACCCATTAGACAACCTTCCTGCTCCACACTTAAGTTGACGTGTCCGATCATTTTTTGCATAATTTCAGTATCAACAGTGGAAATAGTTCTATTTCGTATTATTTGGCTCACCCTGTATGTGCAACATGATATATTTGCAATACTGATTGTGTTAAAAAAAATTATTTATAAATGCCGAATATATTTTCTGTTAAAGCTCAGTTAGGCCACAAGAAGAATATAAATCGAACATGCCCTGATTAATTAAACTATTATAACTGATTTTAATACCGAATTTATTTAATTGGTATTAAATTTGCGTATATAATAATTTCACTACTCTCAGCATAAATGGCTAGGAATATTAGTTATAATTTAAATAGTATCTCCAAAATCATACAAAATAATTCGGCTTTGTTATGGAATTCAATCGGGTAACAATCGCTTTGCGATTTTTTACTATTCTAATTGAATTTTCATTATTATAATGTGTAATATAACGGAGCGTATTTTTAGCAGTACAATTGGTGCCCAATCTCATGTTTTTTCATAGCATTATTTAAATACACAAAATAACAAGCCAGGAAAATTGTTTCTTTCATTTTATGCCGCTATGCTAAATATGTTTTATATCAAGGGGGCCTACTAACTATAAAAATAAAAATAAAATTCAATGATGAATGTGTCCTATTTATAGGTGGAACAGATGCTAATTTAAATTTATATATGTTATGTATAATAAAAAATTGCTAAACAGTTAAAGCATTGCTTAAACCTACGCGAATATCGAAGTTTTTTAAATGTTATTCCAGAATCAAAATTATAATTTCATAAATGTTTAAATGTTTAAAAACAATCAAAAGTTTATGAATTTGGAAATGTTTTATTTTGGATAAAGTAATCAGTAAAGCTTTTAGGAATTATAAAAGACATTTAAAAATGAGATTGAAAGTTATTAAGTGATATGAATTATGGAGTTGTCAATGGAGGATTGAGTTAAAATCGGCAATGGCAAACTGATCCGTGATTATATATTTTAGAGTTTATTTAATTAATATTTTTTACAATTTATTACATACATTTTCTTTACTGCGACTATAAAATGCATTGGATTTCAATACTAAAATAAAACAAAAAATAGGTAAAAGTAACTTATATTATATTTATAGGTATTTATATTACAGCAGGAATAATGTACGTTTGGACGTTCATTTTAAATTTTTTCAGGGCATACTCAAATTTTCTTGACGAAAAAAGCGAACATGCTTTTCTACATTTTTTTCTCTCGCAACAAGAACTAATTTTGGAAAAAACTATTCAATTTGAGGCTCACTTTGATTGCATTTACTTCTATTTCAGCTTGTTCTAAGAAAGATCTCCATGAAAATGATAAATATTAAAAAAGGACACAAATTAGTTGTATTACGAAACGTTAAATATGTCACGTCCCAACACAATTTAGGCGTCTGAAGGGAATAATGATTATTTTTCTGGAAATTTCCGAAGCCCATATTTATCTGTTGCTGTCTATTTATTGCTCATAAGACACATTCGACAATTGAAGCGTTCAAACATCGAACTCAGCAAAGACGGGGAAAAATCAGTTCGGTTTAGATTGTCATTTTTGTAGAAAAACTTCCCATAAGTCCGATAGTGCTGTCTAGTTTATTGTCCAAGCTTCGGATCATCTTGTCAAATGTTAAACATACGAGTTAGTGAATTGTATAAAAATACTAATATTTTTCGAAAATTTTGCTACTCTAGTAGCACCTGCAGACTTTTGCTTACGCTATTTAATATTCAGTCTCACAAATCAGGTCGTATCTAGTCTTGCCTGGAGCAGTTTCTATTTGCATGGATATAAAACCTGTAGGACCGATTGCTATTTTTTTTTGTTATGTATATCACTTTACATAGATTTTTTTAAACCTTTGTATCGTTTTGCTGATGATGATCTGACAACTATTTGAAAAATTCAATTTTTGGAAAAATTGGTTTTATCGTAACGATCGAGTCGACAATTTTGTAAAATTTATATAAAATTTTATTTTACAATAACAAATATAGATACTTTCAGATTGAAGATAACAAGCTGAACTATTTGAACAAAAAAATGCCTATTGTTTTACACATAATTAAAGAAAATTTTCTTTCCGAACAGACTAACTTATCTTGCAGTTCAAATATTACCTTAGAAATGAATGAAATTTCCAATGGGCTTCCTAATAAACGGCTTTATGGGTTTTAAAACAGCGTAAATGAATTCTAATAAACCGATCAACTTTTTAATGCCCTTTCACAGGCATTCTTAAGGAAATAAATAACTACCTTGCTGATGTAATTGTACTAGTTGTAAACATACTTGTTACATTTTCCTATATATGAAGATTTATCGATGTTTCCTTGGGTGCATACGCTCATTCTCCAATTACTATTCATGTACTATCTATGTGAACTAGATTAATCGGTAATCCGTGATATACCATTTTTTTTTCAAACAGTTTTCTCTAAGTGCAAAATGCGAGGGTGTTCATTAGTTGTTAGATGTAGGTGGACCCATAAATAAAGCCACAATAATCGCTATTTAGTAGATTAATAAATTGGTTGAACTATTTCAAATCGATTGTCTGTTTTCAAAGAGTTTTTAATTATTTTCTGGGCAACGGTTCAAGAAAGAATCAACCGTTAAAGGTCAAGTGCAAGTGCAAGTTGAAGTTACAATAGGGATGGCTGACGACTTCGATTTACCCAGTTTACAATAATTGGAGTTTATCGGCTGTCAGCTAATCCAAATAAAAATAGAAAAAAATGTAACGAATATTTCAATTTATTATGAAATTAATTTATTTCAGAAAAAATGTGAACAAAAGGACGCAAAAAGAATTATAAGGAAATTAATGGAAAATCACCAACTGGAAAACGAAGACAGATACGAAAAAACTGCAAGAGATCAGAAAATTCTTAAATTGAACAGCAAATTCAAAAATTTGTTCGGTAGAAGTCAGTGGCACAGCAAAAAAAAATCAGGGGATAAAATGATTATGCCTCTATAAAAAAGCTCACCCTGTAGATTTTTACAACCAGTCGCCTTACCTCCGGGTAAAGGGTCTAAACATTAGCCTACGTTAAAAATTTGAGCAAAATATATCATAAACTGTAGGAGTTAAAGAGAAAATACATACAACAGTTTTTTGTAACTTTAACACCCTGTATCTCGTTAACCATGGGCCTGAGAAAAAAACTTGCATGGAAACTCGATTTGTTTTGGGGGCCTCTACACGCCCCTGCTCTGTATCCATAAGGTTGTGAATCACCCTGTATAAGAAAAATTACGTTTATTCCAGTACATTGTTCCGTTCAATTATTCACGACTAAAGCTGATTCAGACAGTAAATATGGCGAATTCAATTGTGCAGCAGCAACGTAAAACGTTACCCAAACGTAAAAAAAAAATTTTAAGGCTGCTATGGCTAAAAATGTTGAAAAAGTTACGAAGTGAATAGACATTAGCTGAAGATACGATAGAAGACAAATATTCCTTTCGCCCGCAGAACGCTTTGAATTATCAAAAGTTGAAAAATTCTTGAACATCATTAATTCAACAATTTCTTTCGTGTCTCCTCTGTGACTTAAAACCAATTTTTTGAAGCAAAAGTAACTCCAAAATAGGCTTTACAAAACACAAAAGGCAAGATGTACAATTTGAAAATGTTTAAACATAATTTTCAGAAAGTATCGAGCCTAATACGTAGTGGCCTCCTAATAGCCCAGATCTTAATCGTGTAGATTACACCATATGGAGAAGATTGGAAAGGCGTATGACAATTTAAATTTTTATAACCAATGTCGATAAAGTAATTAAAATATTCGAATTTAGCTGGGAGTACTTTCATCAGGCTAATTTATACTAATCTATATTAATCTCATAACGATGCTTTAAATAATATAAACAAGATTCATAGCATTATATCAATTCCATGCGGTTAAAGTACTCATACCAATAGAGGCTATTAAACGTTTGAAAATTGATACGTAGAAAATAGTTAATTGCTAAATGCACATTTTATTGTTTTTAAAAATTACATTAAAGTATTTCAAAATAGTGTTCAGTTTGCTTTTCATTTTTTTTATTCGGTTGATTTTTAATTAAATTCACATTATTTTCCTAGTGTTGAGTCCTGAATAATTTGGACGTAATAAACGCGTTTGACTCCATAGTTATCTTACTAGTTAAATTAATGATTTTGTTCACCTGTCTGTTAAAGTCTGTTATTTCTCGGTTTCAGGTCAGCTGGACTTGGACCTGAGAGAAATTCAAAGGCAAAATCAAATAACCAAGCAAATTCTGCAAAATTTTCTGGAAAAAAGCCTATACGGCAAAAGATTCTCCAATACTCCAAGTTTGCTCGATATTTTGCCCAATCGCATAATTCGAAGAACTTCTAGTAATAACATTCAAGAACTATTGGGAAATTCGACCCAAGAAAACGATAGTAGGGAGACCTTAGATGGCGATGAAACTGAAAATGTTGATAGTTACTATGAGGATTTTGACTTTGAAGGTAAATTCTACGGTTAGATAGGAGTAGCTAGCTAGATCTGCCACTATTTGCTTGCATTTTTTACTTTCGCTTCTAACGGCTTGTTGATGTTGAATCGGATGCAAGTTGGCAACAACTAGTTTTCTAGTGCATACAAAATATCAAATTATCGAAAGTGGTCAGGAAAATAGAGAAAGCTGCACCAGATTTAGTACTAATTGATGGTGATTTATTTTCTGAATTGCTATGCATAAATATGACGTCGAGAAGTATGTTTTCGCATTTACATGTATTTCATACTGAATGCTTTCAAATGTATTTTTTGAGGCGCTTTATATGAGCTTGATTTAAAACTTCTCGTTAAAACAGCCCAATAGTAGTTTTACAAAGCTGATTGGTCAATGATTAGTTGTAAACTGTTCTTTCTAAAGTTGCTAAATCGACTAGTTTTAATGAGACGGGTTTTTAATGGCATCTACTACAATGTCTATGGGATCATTGTCTACATGGGTGACAATTCAATAAACATTTGCATTCCTGTTAATACGTTTGCATGGTTTGCGTAATATTTCGAAAAATAGTCTAACCTAATTTAAAATACCAATATTCAGTTATTGGCAAATACATGCAATGGACAGACATTCGAATAGGCATTGTTTTCAGTAATTAACAAATTGAATAATCAGTTCAAAATAATGACATACGTATATACAAGGCGGTCAACGAAGAGTATATAAACTATATTTAACAACTCTACTTTTTCTGGGTTTCAAAGATTCTTAAATGATTTGTGTTGGTTGTTAAACATTCAATTCAAACAAACAATTCATTGTTGCTCTAGAACCCATAAAAGCCCCGTTGATTGACAATTATTTGATTCTGATCGTAGTTTATTTTTCATGCTTCCTTTCATTTCTGTTCAAATTATGCTTTGATAGTTAGTTTCCAACTTGGTAACTTCGTTTCAAGATTTCACTTCTTGGAATTGAGCAAAAGAGTCGGAAAAATCTAATTTACCTTTGATTGTAAAAAACAACAAATATTGCCAAACTTTAAAGAAAGTATAGAAGAGAACGAATTTTTTTATATTTCCAGAATTTTTAGTCCATATTTATAAAGGTAGAGACATTTTCAGATTCATAATTTCGAATTAATTCGTCAATGTTTGTTTATTAACGATTTTTTAGAGAGAGAGTTTATTAATTAATAATTTTTATGCTTTTATCGATTCTCAAACATTTCAAACTTCTTTAACAGATCGAATTCAAGTTTTTTGTTCCGTTTGTATTCATAAAATAAAATAATTATTAACGCAAAAAGTTAATACAATGTAAACATAGATATTGTCGAAATTTTATTTTATAAGTCGTGCAATTTTATTGCTATTAACCTACAATTTTATTGCTGTTTTTAATTAAAATTCTAAATAATTTAATTTAAATTGTAGACAACCTGGATTTTTTTGCTATTAAAAATTCAGACAATTTAAAACACGGAAAGTTTTTTATATCGGGGAATAAACCGTATATTTGATTAGTGTTTATTCAAAATTAATATCCTTGTTTTACTTAACTAAATATATGTAAGTAACTTATTTGTTTACTTTCTATTCCACTTATGTTTTCAATGAAAATATGTTCCCAAACTTAATTACTTCGTATCCATTTCCGCCTTGAAATTTTAACCAATTAGTTAGAAAAATTTAAATTGCTGATGATTTTAAAAACACAATAAAAATCGCTATAATTTATGCAAAAGAATGAATAGAAAAACATTTCAAAACTTTCATTAGTTTACATATATTTTTTATTCATTTCGTTTTTGGAGCACATAGATACGTTTTCGGAATTTAGAATTATTTAAACAACGTTAGTTTATTAATTAGCTAATTCATTACATGCCTTAATGCATTCTCAAAATATCTGAAATTCCCTTAAAAGATCGAATTCAAAAAGTTATACAATGTAAACAATGAAATCGAAAGAAATTATTTCTCAAGTCGTGAGTGACGACTGCGATTCCTGTTTTTATTTATAATTCTAGATAATCTTGTTAGTTTATTTAGATTTTCTTGCATTAAAAAATAACACAGGAGGTTTTTTATGTGAGAGAATAAACTGAATCTTTGATGGTTATTTATTGAAACTTAATATTTTGTTTTATTCTACTAATTATAAATAACTTTCTTGTTTATTTTGTTTTCCAAAAATTTTACGAAAATATGTCTCCAAGCTTGGCAACTTCGAATTAAATTTTCGTTGATTGTGGAAACATTTTAAACGTCTCGAAAATTTAAAGAAAAGAAGAACGGGAAAAAAAATTGATTATTTCCAACATTTTTAATAGATTTGTTACTTTCCTCGTTTTTGGAGCAAGTTGAAACTTTTCTGATTGATAATTCGGCATTAAGCATCAATTGAACAACGTTCGTTAATTAATTAAAATGCCTTAATGAATTCTCGAAATATCTCAAATTTCTTAAAAAGATCGAATTCAAATTGGTAGGTGTTTGATTAATTTGGATTCGCAAATTTAAAATATTATTAAAGCAAAAATATAATACATATAATGTAAATATTGAAATTGGCAAAAATTGGAAATTGAAATAAAAAAAATTATTATTAAAAATTTAATATTGCTGTTTTATTTTGGTAATTATAAATAACTTTTTTGTATATTTTGTGCTTCAATTATGCTTTTAATGAGAATATGTTTCCAAGGTTGGTAACTTCGTATCCAACTTATTCTCGAAATTTAAACAAAATAGTTTTTGCAAATTTTTTACATTAAAAATCGACAAAATGTAAAGAAGGGAAGAAAAAAAAAATTTCACTTTTACATTTTATGGAACCAATATTTACAGCGTTTTAATTGATTTTTCTAGTAATCACGTTTTCAGATTAAGTTCAGAAGTTTCTAGATTTATGCTTATAACTCGGAATTTAGAAYTATTACAACGTTCGCTAATAAATTAATTGATTGCTTAAAATGATTGAGTTCAAATTGGTAAGGGTTTGTTCAATTTGTACTGGCAAAGTTAAATTATTGTCAACGCAACGATTTAGTATAAAGTAAAAAACGTTTAAAGGTAAAAAAATATTCTAAAGTCGCGCGTGAATACGAGTGTTTTTATTTATAATTTTAGATAAGTTTATTAGTTTATGTGCAATTGATTGCTGTTAAAAAGTCAGAAACATATTAAAACACAAAAAGTTATTTTATATAAGGGAACAGAACATGTGATGATTTTTTTTTGTGAAAGCAAAATAAAAAGCGCCAAAATTTGACTTTTCTACCTTCTTATCTGGAGTAAATAAGAAGTCGAGACCTCAGCAGAGAAGTTTTCAGAATGATATTTGGGAATTTTGAATTAATTCATCAAAGTTTGTTTATTAATTAATTCGTTAAATACTTTTATGAATTCTAATTTTTTTATTAATAGATTTCACATTCGTAGGTGTTTGTTCAACTTGTGTTCGAAAAATTGGATATTTATAACGCAAGAAAACAATGTAAACACGGAAATTGCGGAGAACTTATTTCTCAAGTAGTGCGTGACTGGGATTGCTGTTTTTAATTATAATTCTAGATAATCTTCTTATTTTATGTGAATTTTGTTGCTATTAAAAAGTCCCATATATTTTGAAACAAAGTTCTTTGATTTGAGAGAAAAACGGTTATTGTATTATTAGGCATCAGTGTTTTACTTTACTAATAATTATAAGTAATTTTTCTATTAATTCCGATTTTTATTCAAAATCATTTCTTCGCTCATATTTTTGTATTGTTTGGAAAATTCTGTGCTTCTTCCTATAATGTAGCCTTAAATATAGAAATCAAATCTAACATCTCATTGCTAATTCAATCATCTCGGAAGCTCTTAATTACATTAAACTAGTAATATCTCAAGGCAGTGGACTGAATTTAGTTTTTAAAACGACCCTTTTAATCAAATATATGTAAACTATAATTTTGCGTTCATCAGACTTCATTTAGATCTTTACCCATCTATCTATTACATCATTTGAAAGGCGTTTCGGATCTTTTTAGTGGATTTACTGATTTAATTACTGGGAAGTATAAATTGCTTAATAGATTGAATCTCGTGAAGGCTGAATTAATTAAACTATTTAATTTAATGAAACCAGTTGCACTTGTCAAGGAATTCTTATACGATGTCCCTTTAAACTGCAGCTTTTCTCACTGATAAATTAATGGCTTATACATTAAGCGACATGCCGTGAATACAAAAATGTGTGTCGAGTGAATTATGAGCCACATAATTTATTTGTTTAATATAAATTTCATACAATGTAAAATTATAAACTGCTAGAGAGTTGTGAGGTATATTTTCCTGATGTAGAGCTTGCATTAAGAAACACTACATAGTTTTTCTGTATTGTGGATTTATGAACGTTATTCGCTAATTTGCAACAAAAAAATCTAGTAAAGTGTTACAAAAAAGCTCTAGACATTTCATCAGATGTTGCTGTAAACTGATTAGTTGTTCAGTAGAAAAAACCCTAGCCTGATTTTCCTGATGAGAAAGCGAAATTCTGACCAGAAAAACTTTAAGCTGCTCTTTAAGGCATGATTTCTAATATTAACATTAAGAATTATTAATGAAGACTGACTCTCTTTGATTAACGTTGTTGCAAGTAACACGAACAGATTGAGTTAGTAAAATTCAGATAATTCATTTGCAACGAACAATGTAATAATGTTTCCAATTTATCCGAATATTAGTCGCAACAGATCCCCAATCATCATAATTTGGGCCTCAAAAATGAGCCGTTAAAGGTACCTAACATTTAATTAATAATTCCGACCTTCGTCATCCTCGAACCTCATTGCCAATGTTAGAAAAATCATTGGGACCGTTTGATTAACATTCAGTATTTGCTAATCGCGCAGCATTGATAGTTCTAAGGTCAAAATGATGCAGCAATTGCAGATATTAAATTTTTATTTTATATAAATAATTTAACTAACGTTACTTTACTTAAACTTTTATTAAAATA